ATCAGCAACTGAAAGTCTGTATTCCCATAGGTTAAGTGGTATAAAATCAAGAAATCAACAGAAGGCTGAGACTCAGAAGGGCAGCAATGGAAGAATTAGGGCAGACCAGCACAAGCAAACATATGTCATTAGAGACCAAGATCATCCACAGCCTCACATTTCCAATTACTATGTATGAATACTAAAGCTGTACAGGAAAGAAAAAAAATTGATTCATTTGAAATATGGTGTTGGAGAGCTCTACTAATATCTCAGACCACCAAAAAACAAACAAGTGGGTCCTAGATCAGATTAACCCCAAAACATCACTGGCAGAAAAATGACAAAACTGAGGTTATCTTACTTCAGGCATATCGTGAGAAGACATGGTTGTTTGAAAAAGAAAAAATGCTGGGAAAAATAAAAGGCAACAGTAAAAGAGGAAGATCTTCAGTATGAGATGAACTGACTCCATAAAAGAAGCCACAAGCATGAGCCTATAGGAGCTGAGCAGGATCCTTGAGGAAAAGTTGTGCAAAACACTCATTCGTAGAGTTGCCAGCAGTTGGAACCAACTCAACGGTTCATAACGTGTAAGTGGCATGAAGGCTAGAATCATTTGTTTCTTGTATATTGCTCTAGTAATCTTTGAAAACATTGCCTCCATGGATAAGTATATTTAGGAAATACTAAACTCACTCCCCACCCCAGCACTGAGATCCTGCTGCATTCACACAGTAAAGGCTCTGTAAATTTATGTACTAAAATAATTAGTCCCACCATCTCGAAACTTATTTGACCTTTGAATCATTTTTTTAGGTAATGTCTGTTTACGTAGCTCTGGAACCAGTGGTTTACAAAGCACATTTTGAGAAACACTGTAATATAGTCTTATAAGCTCAGTCATTTAACATTTGACTCTCATAATTTCTAAGTGCTATACAAATACAAAGTTAATGTAACTTAAAAACCCATTTAGGCAATCAAAATTAAATGCAACCAGGAGATGTGTAAATAAGAATGCAATAAAGAAAAACACTTGCTGGTAAACAGAGTAATTCATCCTAGCAGTTTTTAGAGTGTCTTGAACTTTAAAAAAGAGTCTGGTGGCAGAAAATGCACCATGGCTAGCGAAGCACAGTGTTGTGCATCATGACAATAAGTTGAAAAAGGAAATGTTATTTCTTCTCCATTTCTCTTCCTCCTAGTTATAAGTTAGAAGGTGAGTATGTGAATAGCAAAAAGGGAATATGATCAGGAAGAAAGGCATTGGATATTGGATGGTGGGAAACAGATCAGCCTTGAGTGCAATGGAAGAAAATCAGGCTTAGAGCAGAACATGTACATGCATGTCATTTGCATCTTAACTCAAATATTTGCATGTAGATGAGATATTTAAGTGGTACACTAGCTGCTGCAGGGCTAACCCAGACAAAATCATCATCATCATCATCATCATCATCAAGGTTTATTTTTAAAAATGTTTATCCTCAACTGAGGTTATGTTTTTATTGATTTTAGAGAGAAGAGAGAGAAAGAAACATCAAACCAAGAGAGAAACATCAATCGGTTGCCTCCTGTAAACCGTACATGTTCTGACTGGGGAACTGAACCCACAACCTTAGGTATGTACCCTGACTGGGGATCCAACCCACAACTTTTTGGTGTCCTGGACAGTGCTCCAACGAGCAGAGCTACTCAGCCAGGATTAAACAAGGTTAGTTTTTGAGGCACTCTTTTCTCTTGGTAAAGCAAGCAGTGGTTCTCAAAAGGAGGTTTTGGGTTGCCATAATAACTGGGAAACGTCAGTGGCATATTGAAGACAGGAGCCTAGGATATTAAACATACTGTTAAGTGAGGAGAAACCTGCATGATGAAGAAATAACCTACCCAAAATAAATTACGCCTTTGCTGAGACACACTAAGTATACTTCATCTGGTTCCATATATTTCCTTTTCAAATCCAGGCTTCTTACCATATAGGCTGTATGTATCTCAACTAATTGTGGATCTGATTAACTGATAAAAGTTATTGAAAACATATTAGATAAAGCTCAAATTTCAAGTGTTCATTTACATTTCAATGGAGGAAATAATCAACTCCAAAGAGTCTCTAACTAATTGATGTTCTGAGAGACAAAAAATATTAAGATATTTTATTGGAATAACAATGTAATCCTCTTATATGAAGAGAAAGTTTGAGACATGTCCTTTTTCAATTTGCTCATTTCAAATTCTACTATCTCCTTCTCCATCCCTATTCAAAATACCACTTTTCCAAGATGGTTAATATTACATGGGCACATCAGACTTTAACATTTGCATATACATGTTTAAAAAACAAAGACCAGTACTTGAAGAAAACTGGCAGGCACATCAGTTTGTAAACCAATTTTTAAAATAAAAGTAAAGGAAGTCTTGTTGGAGCTATTAATTTTAATCCTCTATAAAAATAGATGACCAGAAAAAATGTCAGCCTCCTATTTTTCTTACCTCTATATAACCAAAACAAAAATATTTAATTTTCTTTTCTGGCTCATGGTATAATAATACCCTTCTAAATTATTATTTCATATCTTGGAGTACACACTCCAAAGGTAAAAGAATACGAGTAGTTAATGAGTTGTAGTACTTGCTACTTTATATATGTGTACAGGGTGGGCAAAAGTAGGCTTACAATTTTGAGTACATGAAATACAAAATTTATCCTTGTGCTATTAGTTATTGTAATATTTTCCAGATGAACAACTCTTTGTTGTACCCTGTATATGGAAGCCTTGCACTCAGAAATGTACCATTATCTCCATCCTAAAGACTGGAACTTACAAAGCTCAGAAGGCTTAAACATCTAATGGATTTAACACTAAGAAACAGTGGAAGTCAGAATTGGCCCCAGGTCAGCTTAGCACCTAGGCTCATACTTTATTGCTATACCCTGCAGTATACAGGTCTTTTTTATTTTGCTTATGAGCACTCCTGCATGAGTATGCATGTTCTGGATAGCTTGGACTATAACCAGGTGTTTAACAGGCTACTTTAGAGGAAATATATATAATCCCTACCATCAGGGAGGTTTCACTTTAGTTGAAAAGATGTCATACATACAATGGCACATGCACATGGAAAGACAGCCAACAAAATATGGCATTATATTAAGTCGTACCAGCTAAGATACACATTCAATAATTCTGCATGATTTTAGCAGTGAAGAGCTATGAATTGAGGTAGTCAAGAAGGAAACCGAGGTTGATTTTCAGACTTGAAATGTGACTAGTAGTAGTTGTAATTTATTCATTAAAAGAAAAAGTGTGGCAAACATTCATTATATATAAGTACCTGGACTAGGCACTGGGAATTCAATGGTAAAGGGTATAGACAGAGACCATCTTTATCTTGTGACCCTGTCCTCCCCAGTCCCTAACATCTTATATGCCTACTGAGTCATCCTATCAAAATGCAATTTCTGACTTGCATTTTCAAATGCAAGTTCTGGAACAGGACCTGAGACTCTGAATTTCTAATAAGGTCTGAGTCATGGCCATGCTGCTGCTCCACAGACTATACCATAAGTAACAGAAATCTAGAGGGTGTGGATAAGTAAATGATAAACTGAATGGTGAGCACATAACTTTAGCAAAAGTAACTGAAAACATGCAACCATCTGTGCTAGCCTTCAGTTCCTATATCCAGAAACATACTAGGTTACTACTGCTGCCTTGCCATAGCCTGCATAGGCTTAAAATATTAGATAATATAATGTTGACTTATTTTTCTCTAGATCTAAATAGACATCTTTCCTTCATTGAACTGTTTTCCTTCACATATTTACAATGCCATTGATTGTCATCACTTTTTTTTATATCACCTTTTCACACTTGCTTTCCTAGTATCATTCTCCAAGTTCTAGCAAAACTGAATTGACTTCAGCCACTCTTTGGTCTTCTTAGGATCAGTACAACTTCAGAGCATTTCTGAATTCTATGAATTTCTAATCCCATTTCTAAAGTACTCTCTCTCTTTCTTTTCCCTCTCTCCCTCTCTAATCTTTTCTGTTCCATCTGTGTGTCTCTGTCTTCCTTCTATTTTTCTTGGTTTTCTTTCTGTCATTCTTTTTTATTTTTCTTATTTACCCTCATAGTGTAATATTTGCAAATTAGTGGGGATTCTTACTATAGCCTGAAAATGTTGAGTTTGATGTCCAGCTCTGCCACTTTTTAATTACCTCACTTTAAGTATGTTATCCAACCACTCTGCTGCACTTTCCTCATTTATTACATAGAGATTAACAATAGTATTAATCTCATAGTGTCATTCTAGGAATGAATGGTTACTAACTGTTAAGGGTTTAGGACAATTGCTAGAACATAATAAATATTATTTACATGTTGGTGGCTATTATTATGCAATCTTATCTTCATCCCTGCCTGCAGGACAAGAAACTTTATTTTTGACTTGACAGTACAAAAGTCCATGACACTTAGGCCAGTACACTGGCCTAAGTCCAGTACACTGATTGTCTCATGTTCTGAGCAGACCCTGGAAGAGTTAGAGTTATGATAACCAGAGACATTGAAATAAAGAACTGACAGTTACCAGAGGAGAGGGGGTATGGGGGTAATGGGAGAAAAAGGGTAAGGGTCATCAAGGAACATACGTAAAGGACACATGGACAAATCCAAAGGTAAGGATCAAGGGTAGGTTAGGTGAGGTGGGGGATAGGGGTGGGGGAAATGGAGGCAACTATACTTGAACAACAGTAAACAAATATTTTCATTAAAAAAACAAATCATGCCACAGTTTATTCTTTCATGCCATCTTCTTTCTCATCAAATTTTGGACATTTTTGCCCTGTCTCATATATATTGCCTTTCATTTACTCTCTCTCAATATTCAATTATTTCATAAGTGTATATTTCATGATCATTCCATGATAGCAAGACAATCATGGATGAAAGTTGTTTTACTATTTTAGACATTGTTGTACATTGTTTTATGATGATAATTAAAACTACTAGTATTAAGTGCTCACTTTGGCAGCAGATATACTAAAATTGGAAGAATACAGAGAAGAATTAGTATGGCCCCTGCGTAAGGATGACATGCAAATTCATGAAGTGTTTCATATTTTTAGTACCAATGACATATTTCATAGCTATATAACATACATTTCAAAAATTTATACGGAACCATAAATGACCCCCAATACCTGCAGCAATTTTGAGAAAGAAGAATAAAGTGTAAGGGAATAATAATACCTGATATCAGACTGTATTACCAGGCCAGTGTAATCAAAACAGCCTGGTAATGGCCTAAAAACAGACACATAGACCAACAGAAGAGAATAGAGAGCCCAGAAATAAACCCAAGTTTCTATCAGCAAGTAGTGTTTGAAAAAGGGGGCAGCAGCATAAGAGGGAGTAAAAATAGCCTCTCCAACAAATGGTTTTGGGAGACCTGGACAGCTACATAGAGAAAAATGAAACTCAATCACTAACTTAGACGATACACAAAAATAAACTCAAGGTGGATAAAAGACTTAAATATGTCATGACACCATAAAAAATATAGGCAGAAAAATCTTAGGCATTCCATGCAGCAATATTTTCACTGATACATCCCCTAGGACAAGGGACATAAAGAAAAGAATAAATAAAAGGGACTTCAACAAAATAAAAATCTTCTGGATGGCTAAAGAAAACAGCATTAAAATGAAAAGAGAACCAACTGTATGGGAAAACATATATGCCAATGATACCATAGACAAGGGGTTAATCTCCAAAATATATAAAGAACTTATATGACTCCACTTCAGGAAGGCAAACAATGTAATTGAAAAAATGGGCAAAGGACCTGAACAGACACTTCTCTGTGGAGGACACACAGAGGGCCCAGAGACATATGAAAAGAGCTTAGCATCACCAGCCATCAGAGAGATGCAAATTAAAACCACAATGAGATACCATTTTGTACTGGTCAGAATGGCTATCATAAATCAAGAAACAGCAAGTGTTTATGAGGTTCTGGAGAAAAGGGGACCTTATTGTACCGTTGGCGAAATGTCGACTGGTATAGTCACTGTGGAAAACAGTATGGAATTTCCTCAGAAACCTAAAAATGGAACTGCCTTTGACCTAGAAATTCCACTGCTGGGATTATATCCTAAGAAGCCTGACACACCAATTCATAAGAACCTATACACCCCAATGTTCATAGCAGCACCATTTACAACAGCCAAGTTCTGGAAGCAACCTATGTGCCCGTCAGTAAATGAATGAATCAAAAAACTATGATATATTTACCCAGTGGAATACTATGCAGCAGAAAGAAAGGATTCTCACCCTTTGCAAGAGCATGGATGAAATGGGAGAGCATTATGCTAAGTGAAATAAGCCAGGCACTAAAAGACAAATGCCACATGATCTCACCTATAAGTGGAGCCTAATCAAAAAAACAAGCAAGCAAACTTGCCTTTTTTCATTCAAAAAACTAAAAATGCCATCCATGGGCTATTTTATAGTAAGCTGCCTAAGTGTTAACCTTACTTATTTTTTCAAAACACTATTGAATTAGGAATACTGTAAGAGAGGTTTGTAACTCAATTTATGTCTGGTTGCATTATCAATTAGTAGTAACATGATCCTACATACTGAACCTCAGTAAGATTCAGTGCAAAATCATCATTAAAGTGTTGTGTCATAGAGAAGATCATGGGCTTAGTCATTGGAAATATAACTTCCACTCAAGAAGTTTTTATTTTAACAAAAAAATGTAATTCTGATAGGCTAGAAAAACCAGAAAACACTGCCTACGAAAGAAAAAAATGATAATATAAAATTTAGCATGTCTCATAAAACTCATTTGTAGACACATTACCTGGGATTAAATGAAAATCACATGATTAAAAGATTTTTTTTAATTTTTTGCTTGATTTTAAATTTTGAGGGAACAAACAAGACCAATTGTCTCATAGTTTGCGTGCTTGAAGTTTCTCAAAAGTAACAGAAATAAAGGTTTAATTGAATAATAAAAAGTATTTTGAGTAGAGACCTTCATCTTTGTCCTTTAAAAATTACCAAAACTACTTAGATTATAATTCATACACACAGATCAAGTATTGGTGAAATCTGAAATAATTTGATAAGCAATAAAAAGTAAGTAGATATTTAAATTTTTTTTAATTGGGAAAAATCATAACCTAACTACATACAAAGAAAGCTATAATACTTGATTCCATGTCAAAAAGCATTATTAACTGTCTTCAAGAAGAAAATGAATAATCTGTAAATAAATTTATAAAGCCCTTAATCAATATTAACTGAACACAAGCCTAATTCAGGAAGAATATAAAATTCAGGTGTGTCCTACCTTTTGGCATATTTGGGCCACACTGGAAGAAAAAGAATTGTCTTAGGCCACTCATTAAATACTCAAACGTTAATGAAAAACTGATGAGAAAAAAAGTTTTAAGTAACTTTATGATTTTCTTTGGCTGCATTCATAGTCATCTTGGGCCATGGGTTGGACACCCCTGGGGGATGAAATTTAAAAGTGCTAAAAAGGATAACTAATATTGTTAATATTTATGTGTTTTTACATTTTTAAAAAGTCAAATTACTTTAAAAGCTTAATGATGAACTGATAGTTGATCTAAATCTTTGAAAACTCACATACTTTTCCCTATAATTATAGAACTTTGAGAATATATCAGTAAACTGATGTACTTGAAAAGCGAAATGAATAACTAACATTTAATTGCATATTCAGACTATTTTTATCTATGTGATATATCTGTATTTGTCTTTATATAATACCATGGAATATAGCATTTAGATCCCCTTTTATAGGTAAGAGAAAATACCAGAAAAGAATCAAAGGAGAAAAAAACCCCAATATTTGCTTACTTATCTGTTCAATCACTCTTTGATTTCTAATGTTTTGATACCAGTGAAAATAGTTGTTTATGTTACCATAATGATAATAATGTACTATACTATATCATTATTCTCTTTGAGTCAGCGATGCTTGTTTAAAACTAAGACAATTGAAAGAAAGAAAATGTTTGGGATTTTTAATTAAATACAAAAATAATAGTAAATATAGAGAATGGTTAATTTAATCTTGTAACTCCTATCTCAATAAAATATTCCAAAGGGAATCTAAACAAATTATTCGTATAAAAATACTATAAAAACATTTAAAGTACAGAATCTGAATTATTGGAGTAATTAAAAGTGAATTATTATATGATTTTATATACTTATGAGTGAAAACAAAGCATAATTACTTTTAAATTAGAATGACTTAAATTTTATATATCCTAATTTATTTTTATTTTTATAACAATATGCATAATTTCATATGGTGAAATGAAATGGAAAAATTAAGATCCAAAAATTGTTTCTCCTCTGAAACAAAACACAAATACCTCAAAGTGTGAGTTCTTAAGAGTGTTCAGCCCTGGCTGGTGTAGCTCAGTGGATTGAGCATGGGCCTGTGAACCAGATGATCACAGTTCGATTCCCAGTCAGGGCACATGCCTAGGTTGCCAGCCAGTTCCCAATGGGAGATGCACAAGAGGCAACCATACATCGATGTTTCTTTCCCTCTCTCCTTCCCTTACTCTCTAAAGATAAATAAATAAAATCTTTAAAAAATAATGTTCAAATGTACCAAGTGAACCTCATCCTACTTGTCAGGAATAACTTATATAGCATTATGTTTATTTTCATTGCTATTCTATATATTTTTCTCTTTGTTGAATGAATTCCTGCTACTGACAGCCCTCCCACTTGGCCCAATCAAATCTTAGTTCTATGAAGTAATTGGTACTGGTGGGTGATCAAATCATGTGAGTTACTGGAGCTTATGTGCAGCTTATCACATTGTGGGACTCCAGGGGGAGAAATGTTTTCAGTTTCCTTCTTAATCAGAACAAGACTTAGAGCCTCCTGCTATCAGACCTTTGATTTTACCTTCTCCACAAATTCAATTTATCCAATCTATTTTAGACTTAACCATTCCACATCCCTCTCCACACCTCAGTATACTTTGTGATAGATAAGGTAGAAAATTCGAGGCACTGTTGGTGAAAATAAAATGACAATGTCTGGACACACAAATCTCGCCAGAGAAGTACATTTAATCATTTTAGAATACAGAATCCATTTACTACATTTTCTAAGCAGCTTATTTATATAAATGCAGAGTAAGGCACAGTTGTTTTTGTTTCTAAAATTGTCAGGTAATTTGCATTCCTGCCTTTTATCTACACTATTATTGAAGTATTAGGGGAATAAATTTCATTTGCTTCTATTCACAGAAGACTGTTATATTCAGGTAATGGTACAATTCAGAATTTATCAAATGCCAGGAGATTATAAAAGTTAATGCAACAAAATAGTATTAGTGTGAGATTTGGAGAAAATCTCATGAGATTTGGTTCAGTAAGTTCACAGTTAGATCACTATATCACTACACATGTACAGACAGAAGGAAGTGTGACATTGTGAATTCAGTATTGGTAGATACTATGAATGATCTAGAAATGAAAAGCTCCATCGTGGAGAGAGATGTGAATTTTTTCACAGTGTTGCTTTCTCTTTCACTATACAAATACTCAACATGAAGAAATGAGCAATGTCAAGCCAACTATGCAGACATTTTGGGCTTACTTTCTTTAATTTAAAGTTCACTATTCAAAATAAAAAAGATGTGTTTGGAGACACAAGTACTATTACCAAATGTTCACTCTACATTTTTTTCCTCTTCACTAAAGCTCTCCCATAAATAGTCTGACTCTTGTAGAATTTATTCATTATGTGGAAATGACTCTATTTTCTTTCTTGGCACTCCAGACTAGTAGACCATACCTGGTTTAAGTGCCTTGTGAATGAGTGACTTCTAGGCACCTCCCTCTAGTCCTCATCTTGGCTGCAAGCCACAGTGTCTGTCTTCACTTTCCTCCAGGGTGTTCAGGTGTCATCTCAGATATAATGTTTCCAAAGTGAGCTCATTACCTTGTATGGGAAGAAGTTATTTGAAATATATCATCAAAAAGATAAAAGAGAAAATTAAATGAGACAATGAGAGACTGGCACTGTGTAAAATTTTTGTTTGTTTTTATTTTTTT